TGGATCACGAGGTCAAGAAATCAAGACCATCCTGGTCAACATGGTGAAACCCCGTCTCTACTAAAAATACAAAAAATTATCTGGGCATGGTGGTGCATGCCTGTAATCCCAGCCACTCAGGAGGCTGAGGCAGGAGAATTGCCTGAACCCGGGAGGCGGAGATTGCGGTGAGCCGAGATGGCGCCATTGCACTCCAGCCTGGGTAACAAGAGTGAAACTCCGCCTCAAAAAAAAAAAAAAAAAAAAAAAAGTACTTTATTTACTTATTTCGGTTTGGAAGAAAATAATTTATATTTACTCTAAATTTAGAGACGTAGGTGAAATTTTAAATATGCCTTCTGTATGAAGACATTGTCGAAGACTCTGACTTCATTGAATTACTTAATGACTGACTTAGTAACGATTATAGAAGTTAGTGGTCTCCATTAGATTTTGTTTGATTTCTGGCTATTTTGACATCATTTTTGTGGATTGTTTTTGTTTTATTTTTGAGACAGAGTTTTGCTCTTGTTGCCCAGGCTGGAGTACAATGGCAGGATCTCAGTTCACCGCAACCTCTGCCCACCAGGTTCAAGAGAGATTCTTCTGCCTCAGCCTCCCAAGTAGCTGGGATTATAGGCATGCACCACCATGCCCAGCTAATTTTATGCTTTTAGTGGAGATGGGGTTTCTCCATGTTGGTCAGGCTGGTCTCTAATTCCCGACCTCAGCCTACTAAAGGGTTAAGGTTACAAGCGTGAGCCACCATGCCTGGCCCATTTTTGTTGTGTTTTTTGTTGTTGTTTAAATCTTGCAACATTGCTTGTGGCACACATAGCAGACAAAGGAAATGTTTGGCGCATTGATCAGTGGCTGATCATCAAAAATTGAACTGGATGATAGTCTCCGAAAACTGAAACCTAAATAAATTTAAACTTTATCCAAGTTTTCTGGAAATTATTATGCACGTAGATTGGTAAGATGTTTAGTAGATTTTTAAGTAAAATAATTCTGAGTTTAATGTTGGGTTTTGAAGGGTAAATATTTGATTTTAAAAGGTGAAATAGCAAGATAATTACATACGCACTTTCCTATCTTAGGTTTGTAAATTATCAAAATATTAAAGTAAATAATGTTATAGTGTTTAATGCTTTGCATTTATTAAGTGAACTTCATTTAATATTGTTTACTTTGAATATTTCCATTATTACCTATATGAACATTTTTCTCTTATTTGAGTCTAAATGAACTTCTCACTTAGGCAGTGAGAAATAGAAATAGCAAGAGCACTGTAAAGGAAATAGTTTGCCTTGCTGGTTTGGAAGAAAAAAAAGAAAGAAGGAAAAAATGAAGGAAGGATGGTAGGAAGGAAGTGAGAGAGAAAGAAGAAAAGAGAATGACAAAGGAGAGGGAGTCAGGGAAGGAAGGAAAAAGAGACAAAGGGAGAGAGAGGGAGGGAAGAAAAAGCTCTGACATTTATACATATATTTATATTTGTATATATTTCTGTGTATACATATTATAAGTAATTATATATATATCCATAATTAAGGCATAAACATCTAAGATCACCTAGGCAAAGGACTGGAAGTTTTCTTCTCTAACAACTTTCACCCATGACTTTTTCTTTCATCCCTCTAGCCATTATCCTTAGATGATTGCACTAAGTCCGTGGTTTCACCTAACATTTCTGTATGTTTAGAATGATCACATCTGTAATTATAACCTATCTTCAGAGTATCTTTAAATCTTTTCACAATTATTTCTCAAATAAGACATATGAAATCTAACAAGAAATATATTACTTTTCACCTTCCCCCATTAAAAAATATTCTCCCAAATGTCAAAAAAAAAGACACAACAGGAACTGTAGTCATCCAAAAATTTTCCAACACTTTACCAATTATCATCCAAACGTATCAAGAGGAAATACACTCCTCACAACTTGGTTTTCTTCTCTGCTGTTATCTTGTTCCTGTTAGTTCAGAATCCAATATTATTCTAGAACATGAGAGTAGCTTATTACAGACACAAAGAAAAAAATTAGAAATCTGTGAGCAGGTTGAGGTATATTTCAATATAAAATTAATATTTTAGATCTATTTTTAGCTATTGTGTTATATTAATGGTTGACTTATAAGTAGAAAGTCTACTATAGTGCATTGTTATATAAACAATATTTTACTAATTATTTCTTTGAAGAAATACAGTAGTAGAAGATACTGGAATAATATCAAGATTGCAGAACTCTAAATCTCCTAAAAAATACTTTGTTAGAAAAAAAGGACATCATTGTAATTACAATATATTTTTGCAATAAAAGCTATTATATGTAATTGTCCAAATGTCATAATCTCACAGATTCGACAAGAAAAAAGTATTTCTTCTCTAAGATGACTAAATGATATTATAACCTGTGGCATAACACAGTGAGAAGCGTATTAAGCTTTTTAAAGTCACAACTAAATTTGTCATAATGTTAAATTAATAAATGCCTTTGTTGGCTTATTTTGGCATAGCTTCAATTCTATTGTTGCTTATTCAGTAAAGTTTAAAACATGTGTAATGAACATCTTCATATTTAATTATAAAAACATCATAAGATCTTAAATTGAAATTTTATCAGAATGGTAATTCAGTAACAGATTAAAGTTAAATATGTAATAGTTTTAACATTTTGCTGATGGTGTAATAAAATAATTGATGAAATGAGTTAAAATTTAATCCAAATAAAAAGAAAGACACCACTACCTAAGCACAAAACACAAAACTTTCAATATTTTGAGTTATTTCATTGCTGCATCTACAATTTCTAGCGGGTCCATAGAAGTTTGTAAACCCACGTATACCTAAAATTTCTTTGGCAATAAAATGTTTTTCTTTTCATCAAGCACCTTTTGAAATGATTTAACACACCAGAGAGCACTTCTATCCATTCCCAGAAGAAATTCAGCATCTTCTTCAATATTTTATGATCCTCATATTCTTTGCTATTGAGCAGACAATAACAACAAGCTATTCTGAAATCTAACGTGTGCTTTAGTTTTTTTTCTTTCTCACTAAAAGTATGACTAGAAAGCTCAAAATTCTACATTTATAGCTTTTTCAGAGTATATGTACATTTTATTATAGACAACCTGAAATCCATCTGCTATTTACTTAAGACACTATACAAAGAGTTCTTCTTTGTTTAGAATTACTGAAACATTAAGTTTGCTTTGCAGACTGAGGAAGTAGAATTTCTATCATCTCAGAACATGGGTAAAATATCCAAAATGCTTTGTCCTTTTTTTGGCTAGTAGCTTTATAAGGTAATAGATGGAGTATGACATTTAAAAATCTGAAGAGAATGAGAAATTAAGATGATTCTTTAAAAAACAGCACTGAGTTTCAGAATGGTTTATTGTAAATATCATGTCTATATGTTTGTGAAAATACATATATCATATTATATATGTGTAATATATATCATATATAATACATATGTATGCAATTTATAATATGTATATATATATATTTGTACACAAATATCTGTTTACTGAGAACATGCTCAATAGCTGTACTCGCTTATGGATGTGTATTAGATAAGGATAAAACTGTTTCTTAAGAAGCCATTCATTTATTGGTTTTTAGTGCAATAGATACTTGGAATAAATTATTCTAAAATCAAATATTAAGCTCATAATTTGAAAGAAGAAATAGAGGCCATAAAATGACATCAGATGTCTTCTAAATAAATATTAATGATAAAAAGGTGTTTGCAATGCTGGTTCTGCAGCCAGTTTATCTGGATAAATCTCAGTTTCACCACTTACCAGCTGTTGGGTTTTGGATGAGCTACTTAAACTTTCTTCTAAAATTATTCTGTGTTCACATCTGATTCCCTTTTTCTTCCTGGGTATAAAAGAGGTCTACATGTTTTAATCTCTTACAGACTGTAGGAATGAAAGGGATGTGATGAGTTCTGACCAGTGAGCTGAGTGGAAGCAAAGTATGTCCAGTTTGGTTAAGCCACTTCGTAGCTGCTATGAGCTCTCCATGTTTACTCCTTCCTTCCACAGTGACACTAAAAACTAAGAACTGGACATGAGGAGTCACATGCAATGGTCTTTCTTAATTTCTGAACAAATGAGATTTATATGGCTTATTGTTGTGCAGGCTGTACAAGAAGCACGGCAGCAGCATCCAATTCTAGTAAGGGTTTCAGTTCACTTCCGCTCCTGGTGGAAGGTGAAGAAGAGCCAGTATATACAGAGATTACATGGTGAAAGAGATCAGCCTGATCCTTGAGTGAAAATATATGGAGGATAACAACAGCCATGCAATATGAGTAAGAAATAAATCTTGATTGTGTTAAGCTACTGAAAGTTTGAAACTAATTTATAACTTTGCCTAGTATACTCACTGTGTACTATGTAGTTGGGGTGTTTGTCACCCACATTGCCTGTTGAAATTTGATCCCCATGTTGGAGGTGGAAACTAAGGGGAGAAGTTTGGGTCCTAGTGGAAGATCCCTCATAAATGGCGTCTCAGATGAGTTCTTGCTCTTTCTCACAAGAGCTGATTGTTAAAAAGAGCTTGGCACCTATTTGTTCTCTCTCTCTTGCTGCTTCTCTCACCATGTGATCGCCGCACACACTGGATCCCCTTCACCTTCCACCATAGGTAGAAGCAGCCTGAAGCCTTCACCAGAAGCAGATGCTGGTGCCATGCTTCTTGTACAGCCTGCAGAAACATGGCTAAATAAACATCTTCTCTTTATAAAGTACCCAGTCTCAGGTATTCCTTTATAGTAATAAAAATAAACTAAGACACTGTGCCTCGATTTTCCCATCTATAACTGGGATGATAACAGTACCTAGTTATGTGGTTGGTAGTCAGCAAAATTTTATTGAACTAAGGGATTAATACACCTTTGTAATTCATATTAACAACAGCAGTTTATATATCATTTATTTAATTGATTTTAAATTCTAGAACATTTCACATGTCATAAAGTTCAAACAATATACACCGAGTTCACACTTTCTGCAATGCCTACCAACTCAAGTTTTAAAGTCTCAAATTTTACCTTAATATAAAATGGCTCGAATCAGATATATAATATTTTTTCATATAAAATATTACATATTGACAGCAATAGCCCAGTTGCTGATTTATTGATAATATCTTTGACCTTTAGACATTTTTTTTCTATTATACATAAGAAAATATCGACTAGGTAACAGGAAGAAATGAGAAAAGGTAGAGAGACAATAGTGAAGACTGGTAGGTGCTGGAGTACAAAAGGTTATGTGGGATTCTTCTAGAATGCTGATTACAGCTTGATCTTATCAAGCTCTGGCATGGGAGACCACTTGAATTCATCTCCAGCCCTGGGACAGTGAAATAAGAACTTTCTTTTTCTCTTCTGAAATTTTAAGCTCTTTACAGACACACTTTTTACTTAATCTGCATGACATCAGAGAAAGGTATTATTTTCTGTACTTCGCAGATAATGAAAATATACCATAAGCCACAGAAAGAATAGAGTCACTGGTTACCAAAAGCACTGACTCTGTGGGGAAAGGAACTCTAAGGTCTTCATTTCCATTCAGTTGCCCATTTATTGCTAACTCATTTGTAAGCTAGAGACAAATATGAAAAGAACAGTTTTTCAAAGCAGAAAAAAAGAAAACATTTTCTCTGGAGGAGCAAATAATTTTTACATTATTTTCATTTTGCAAAACTTTAGGGAACAATTTGACCAAAGAAAGAAGAAAAAGTGGACTAGCAGATCTCATGTACCAACAATCTCCTGATGGCAGGAGGTCCATTCAGCAGAAATAAAAATGAGAATACAATGTTTCTAATGTATTTAATTTGGAGAAAAACATTTTCATGTTTTTTTAATAAACAAAGTTAATCATATATTTTACTTCTGGTAGAAGAATATTAATTAAATTGATTATGCTCACATTAGAGAACAATATAACATATCACAGTCAAATAACATTTATGTTTATATTCATTATTATAAGCATTAAAAAGAAATAAATAATGTTGTGGCAGATACTACTTTAACAGGCAGAGTCTCCTGTATCTGGAAATTTATCATCTATACTGCTAGAGAGACTTGAGGATATTTTAATAGTACTTAATTAACTAAAATTTAAGAGATTATTGCTTTCAGCCATTTAAAAATTATTAATTGAACATTGACTATCTGCCTGGTGTGTGTTTACTGTTATCCATTAAAAGCTTGTTATTTAATTGGGGAAATCCAAGTCAAGATACAGTAAATACTCAAGAAACTTAGCAAACATTTGAATTAAAAAATGACACCCAGATTGTATTGTGTATTTATAGTATTGTTCATAAAACAATAAGAAAAACTATTAATATCCCCTCCAAAAACACATGGAAAAAATTTTCTATTTTCAAAATTATTAATATTCCCATCAAATAAATGCTATTTGGACCTATCCTATTGGAAGTAAATAAACTATCTTTTATCCAATAATGATATTTATTGAAGAAATGAGTACCCTAATATATTTCCAATGCTATTATAAATAACTAAAAATTTCTGGAGATATATTTTAAACATACCAGAAAGTCTTAAAATTTTACATTCCAGTTAAAACATATATTCGATATTTAGTAATTCATGCTAAATTATCATAAATATTTTCAAAGATGTGAATAAAATAAGCCTCACTGAAAATATATTTATATAAAATATTGAAACAACTAAAATGCTCATATCCATACTACAAACTGATATGATGAAATTCTATTCTGTCCAAAAATGATACAGAGCAATGTGTAAAGACAGGCAAAATGACCATAACTTACATAAAACATGAATGAGATGATTTTTAAAATCTTAGTTCAGTAAAAACTGAGAAAAATCAAAGTCTATGTGGATGAAGGCACCAAAAAGTGAAATGAATAAAATCACATACACTGGACTGTGAAGAAAATCGTGTTTTAGAAAAGCAACTCACACAATATAAGAATTTTTAATTGAAGAAAAATTCACTGGCATAGGTACAGAAATAGCAATAATTATATAGTGTATAGGAAATAAAACAAATCATGATTTAATTTGAATGAAAATGAAAAATTGGAAGGAGAAGGTAAAAGGAGAATATAATTAAGATTATTACAGCTAGCATTTATTGAACTGTACCAAGAATTGTGATAAACACTTTAAATACATTTACTTATTAAAATACATACCACTACTCATTGAGGTAGGTAAGTACTCCTAATCCTGTTTTACAGGACAGAGTGCAGAGAAATGGTTGACTGAGAGTTCTGGAGGCAACTTGCCTTATTTCCTGTTTCAGCTCCTCCACTATTGGCTGTGAAAGCTGGGCAAGTTACATAGCTGCTTTATGAGTCTTATTAAAATAATGATAATAACAGTACCTAGCTCAATGATTGCTATGCAAATTAAATAACTTACATATAATGTTATGATACTGTCTAGCAAATGATGTTATAAAAATTTAATTGCTTTTATTTTTTAAATTTTATTACATATAGTTATTACGAGTACATAATAGTTGCATATATTTATGGAGTACATGTGATGTTTTGTTACAGGCATACAATGTGTAATAATCAAATCAGGGTAATTGGGATATAAATTGATTCTTTAAAATTCTAAGTAGTGTTTGAGGTAACGCCACTAGTAAGTAACTTTCAGAATGGGGACTTGAGGCAAGGTCCATGTGATCACAAAGCCTGGGCTCATGCTGTCCCCTTGGTCCATACCCATAGACTACAGTGAAATGCCTTCTTATACCTTGGAAATAAGGGAAAATGTCTTTTCCTCTGATTCGACACACAATTAAAACAGAAGCATGAGAGAGCTCTTCGAAGAAGAGAGTGGTTTTCAGACCTCAGGCTTCCCATGCCCTGAGAAAGGTTCTGTGTTTTTAAAACCATGTGTTCATCAGCAGAGACTTACCAGCTTTTGAAACTGAAAGAAGACTATCCCAGAGGAAATATGCATGGAAGCACCAAGAAGCACAGAGGGAATCAAAGCCAAATGACTTTAAGTATCCATCTCCATCGGCTGGGTCCTTCGAGGCTTCAGCCTGCTGTGAATAAACATTTCATTCATTCTACAGTTTGATTCCCCTGGTTCTTCTTTGGCTTCTCACTGTGATCTGTCTTCAGAAAAAAGTGCAGTAACCATGGTACACGAATGTGAAAGTCTTTGTAACATATTTTCATTACATTTTCTCGCACATTGATTTTCTGTGACAATCTTGTTAATATGAATAATTTAAGTTGACTACATATTTTATTGTCTAAACCATAGTACTTTAAGAATAAAAGGGAGCCCAATCAATGCCATGGGAAAACAGGCTGTAAACAAACTCTCATGGGAAATTTGGGGTTTATTGTCAGGCTAGGTCAGTATGACTTAATGCCTGAGATTCTAAAATATTCTCTCCATCCTCTCTCCTTCCCCAAATTCAATTTTTCAGCCTATAGACTGTATAGCCTGATAGACTCAGGGTAATAGTGCTTGAATTAAGGTAATGCTTGATAGGATTTAAATGATGGCTGTGTGGTCTTGGATAAGGCACATAATGCTTTAAGCTATAATTTTCCCAGTTTTAAATTGCAAATAATGATACATGTCTGTAGGAATTTATATACAACACACATAGACACACACACACATATTTACATACATATACTGCATATACATACACATACGCATAAATACATTAGTCCAGTGAATACTCAAAAACTAGCAGCTGTTATTGTATTTCATTACTCTAATGCCACTCTCTGAGGCCTCTTGTTAGTCAGGCAGTTGACTTTTCTCAGGCAACAGTGCTCTGTTCAACTATGTGCTTTTTTTCAAACTTCTACATCTGCTATGTTCCAAGAACAGTCAGTCCTCTATGTATTAATAGAGTGAGAACAAAGCCATGTACCTCAGTTCTGCCTTCCACCAGCAGTTGGTAATAGTAGTTGGTTTCATAATAGTTTGGATGTAGAAATAAATATACTTTTGCACTTTCTTTAAGTAGCTAATATGTTTGTTAGTATGGATGTTTCTGTTTTATGCTAGAAGCATTATCATATATAGATTGTCAATGGGGAACAGGTCATTTTGTGCAAGAGGAAATAAAAATCTTTAGGGATCAGATTTCACCTAGGGATGAAAAACGTTTCAACTCTAGAAAATGTTTCCTAATTACAGGAAAATTTGGGGATGCATAAAATTTGAGGGCATTGGAAGTGGAATTGGAAGGTCTAAGTATAGAAGCGGATGACTAGAATTACAATGAAGGGACTCCCCAGAGAGAGAATACAGAAAGAAAAAGAAACAACCTTTGGAGAAACTTACAACCTATAGTTAAAAGGTGATAAAAGGAGCAAGGAACCCTAGCAAGGACAAAAATTGGATAGAGATATAAGGCACAAAACACAATTAAGTGTAGTGTCACCGAAGTCAGGGTAAGTGGACTATGAATGTGCAAAGTACTTGTAAGAAAAGCAGTAACAAGAAGGGTGTGGCACCTTCTCTGTTGGTATGACTCTTCTTTAGTGTCTGGTAACTTCTGAGAAATGTGGCATTCATTTGCCAAAATCTGTTGGAGGGAAAATATAAAGCTGAGTCAAGATTTCTAGTATTTTTTGATAAATGGTTTTAAGTGATAAGTGAAAACCTGTCTGTTTTTGCTGAAAAGCTCACTGCTGCTTTGATTATGATATTAAGGAGGTCTGTTGAAGGCTGTGTGTAACACCTCAGAGAGCCTTTGGCAATGATGCAGATTTGAAGGATCCAGGCTAGCCTATTTGAGCTTTTCTTAAATAATATATGGCTGTGTGGAGATGGCATCTTGAATCAACCTGGATCCAGAAATCCCGCAGAAATGCTTCAATAGTCACACTAACAGCTATCAAGAATACCCGAGGTCTCTCAGCTTTATTACTGGTGTACGTTGTGTGTAAAATGCCTTTTATGATCATTACTGAATAGTTAGCAAGCTCTGGCAGGACTCTAAAAGATTTGGATATTTTTGGAGAGGTATTGAAATACAAAGTGGCAGTAACTGTGCTTTATTTTTTTTTAAAGAAAGCATCCCATGTGTATCCACATTTAGAATAAGAATACTTGCTCCTATAGAGAACATGTGCCGCGCTGGCCAGGCACAGTGGCTCATGCCTGTAATCCCAGAACTTTGGGAGGCAGAGTTAGGAGAATTATTTGAGGTCAGGAGTTTGGGAGAATACATGCCATTCTTATGGCAAATTTTTTAAAGTTTTAATTATTTTTATTTAAAGAAAAATACCATAAAAGTATTTTTCCCATGGAAAGCTCCCAATCTCATTTTTCCATCTAGCTTTTTTGTGCTTTGTCTATGTGACTGTTAAATTGCACAAAATCTAAATTCTTATCTACATTTGTTTGACATTTTGAATTCTAAAAGAACATATGACTATTTAAAATAAAGCTACTAATAAAATTTTATTATTAAAAACCAATGACTCTTCATATTTTGTTTAAATCTAGTTAATACAGAATTTATCTATTCATAAAGAGAAGCGATCCACAAAAAATCTGTTATTATTATATTCCAAATAAAGTTAATATCAACTTGACCAAATTTTAATATTATCTACAATTAAGAAATGGTGGGCCTTTAGGATATTGACAATTTCATTATCATGAAGCACATTCTTTTCTCCAAGTAAATGTTTTATTACCATATAATTCTAAACTGTTAATAAAAATTCTGCTATAAAACTCACATTCTTTTCTTGATAATTCAAATAATTTGGAAAAAAGAGAGTACTCATGGTTTCAGAAATATAGCTTACGTACATTTTTATTGAAGTTTTTAATTGTTTAATTTTTCCAGATGTTTGGTATTTTTGAAATGGTTCTGTTACTATCAGATTATATGCATTATTTATAATGCGTACATATTCCGTATTCATTATTCAACATATGTGCTTGCTTCAGTGAATGTTAGAATATCCCCTATATTTGTTTTTAAAAGACTCACTAACATTATAATAAACTAACTCAAATTTTCCTTGTTCCTCCTCACTTAGCCACTTCCAAAGCTGTGTGACCACAAGCAACCTACTGAACCTCTAAAAGCCTTCTATTCCTCATCTGTAAAATGGGGTTGTCATTAACTTGCAGAGACTTTGTGAATATTCCATGTAATGCCCACCATGCACGTGGTGAAAGTTAAGTGCTGAATATTGCTGGCTGTTAGCAGTAAATGAAATTGAGGTCAGCAACCTCTACTCTCCTTCTAAAAAGATATCAGGAAAGAAGAAGCTAGTGATCGTAGCTGTTCATATTTTCACCATGATAATATTGACTACGTACATCACTGACAAAGTCTTTCACTGACCCTGTGATACTCATTCAGTGCTTTTATGTATACCACACACACTGAGATTAGAACAGTCATGCAGTTTTTAACAATCATACTTTAGACTCACAGAGTCAGATAAAAAGAGATTTTTATCAAACCAGTCAAAAGATCTGTTGATCTGTATAAAAACATTACTTGAGCATAAATTTTCATTAAACTTTCCCATATGTAACATTTAAGTTTGTGAGAATGAGAAATAGGTATCTGAAGAAAGACACGGTCAATCTCCTAAAACAAAATTTAAAGTTCTTCCTCTCCTTCAATAGATTTGTTTTGGCCCTGACCTAATTTCTATGCCAATTCATAGGGTTTATGATTGCTTTATTCTCAGCACAGCCTGTATTTTTTCCTTCTTTCAAATCTCCCAGGGACTGACTCCAGGAAGTAAGGCATATGCATCATCAATAAACTGCATTTAGTTCACTATTCTTTGTTCAGCAACTCCTGATCCACTTTGTGGATTTTCTGTGCCCTTCATTTCTTTTCCTCCTCAACCCCACCACCTTTCTTTTGATGATTTCACTGCTCATTATCACCTCGACCAGAAGTGAGAAGGAAGAATGTGAAATTAAAATGAGTTGAAAATGACTTTTATAATTTATTTTCAGGATAAGGAGGAAAAGTTGAAAATGTTAGCTAAAATTAGGCCTGGGGTTTTCTAATGACTCCACACAGTTATTTTTAACGCTGTTAAAGTGATGCTAATTGAGTTCTGAAATGAAAGGACCCTTCCACCCTATCATATTCTTTCCTATTGGAATATATAGGGAAAGAGGAGAAATGTAAAATCTATTTATACAAAGTTTTCCAAAACTTAAAAAAAGTAGTCATTAGGAGAGAATAATGCTCACAAAGGTGCCATTTAGGAGTTGCACAGTACAGCCGTAGATGTTTAGAATACAAGTTTTATAGTAAATTAGCTCATTTGCACCCTCTTCATGCAAGTATGTAAATGTATGTTTATTTACTAAATTAACTGTCCAGATTTTTCAGCAAAGGCCTCATTGCTGATTCCCTATTAGTCTCACTATTAATTTTTGAATCTTGTAGGGAAATGAAGTAGGATTTTTTTAAGTTAGTCTGATCTACTTAAAAAGTAATTACATCGGGCCGGGCGCGGTGGCTCACGCCTATAATCCCAGCACTTTGCGAGGCCGAGGCGGGTGGATCACGAGGTCAAGAGATCGAGACCATCCTGGTCAACATGGTGAAACCCTGTCTCTACTAAAACTACAAAAAATTAGCTGGGCATGGTGGCGCGTGCCTTTAATCCCAGCTACTCAGGAGGCTGAGGCAGGAGAATTGCCTGAACCCAGGAGGCGGAGGTTGC